AAATTCCAAGCAAATAGCCAAACACTTATGTGGGGCTGTTTTACTTGTAAATCATTCCACTGATTCCTGAGATGTACACAACCCTAACAGACTGCAGTCAGGTTGGTGACCTCAGTTTTTCCTTCTATAGTTAAACAATACAAATTAGTCACAACTATGTCCCCAGCCTTTGAATAGACAATGAAGTAGCAGGAACACTTTGTGGAGCTCATCCTTCTGCTTACCCTGCTCTCTCTACTATCAGTATGTTCCTTGTCAGCACATGTGCATGCAGCGGAACCTGATTGGCCTCTGGTGATGCTGCTTCCTCTCCCAGTCTGTGCAGAGAAATTTACTAGATTCAGGGCTCAAATCACTAAAGCAGATCACATGTGGTTTTTTAGGTGATCTGATACATTTTTTCCCAAATATAGCATACAATGCTGAAAATGTCAATTCACTATCCTATTATGCGGTATTTACCTCAAAAAGCAAAAACGCTCTGTAAATGCCTCATAAAAACGGCATTAAAGTCAATTTACTAAATTAAATAAATAAATAAATGCATGAGTTAAATACGTAGAGGTCCAGGAATTAGGTATTTAAGGAATAAAAAATTATAATACCTCTCCAACACCGAGCTTCTCGTCTTTCCCCCTTCCCGCGCCCCCCCCCCCCCCCCTATCCATCACTACTAACATCACCACCATCAATCCCGCCTCGCAAGCCAAAGTCCTTGGAGTCATTCTGGACTCTAACCTCTCCTTCCAACCTCATGTCAAATCACTTACAAACACATGCAGGCTCCACCTCCGGAACATCGCCAAAATACGCACCTTCCTTACCCCACACACCACTAAACTACTCGTACACTCCCTGATTATCTCACGCCTTGACTACTGCAACTCCCTCCTCACCGGCCTACCCCAGTGCAGGCTCTCCCCGCTTCAGACCATCCTGAACTCAGCGGCCAGACTCATCCACCTCACCAACCGCTCCACCTCTGCCACCCCCCTCTGCCTATCCCTCCACTGGCTCCCTATCGCCCAACGCATCAAATTCAAACTACTCACTCTGACCTACAAAGCCCTTCACAACACTGCCCCTAACTACCTCACCGACCTGATTCCAAGTACCACCCTACCCGTACCCTTCGCTCTTCACAGGACCTCCTTCTATCTTGCTCCCTGGTCTCCTCCTCACACATACGTCTGCAAGACTTCTCCAGGTCCTCCCCCATCCTCTGGAACTCACTACCCCAATCCATCAGACTGTCACCTTCCCTCCTCACCTTCAGGCGCTCCCTGAAAACCCACCTCTTCAGGGAAGCGTACCCCACCCTCACCTAACTGCTGCTCTCCTTCATTCCTCCTACCACTCCATCCCCCACAGCCACTTCCTCCTGTACCACTACCCCCTCCCTCCTAGATTGTAAGCTCGAAAGAGTAGGGCCCTATAACCCCTCGTGTGCTGTTTGTAGGTGCTGTAATGTTTCATGTATTGTCCACCCCTCTATTGTACAGCGCTGAGCAAACCCTTTGGCGCTATATAAACTAGATGTAATAATAATAATAATAGCCAATTTTGAGTAGTCGCTACCTTTTTTGGATCAGTTCTCTCAGCAGTAATGCCTAGAAAACTAAATATGGAAAAACACAGAATCGTTGGAGTTGATTTACTTGAAGCGATTCTAAAGGTTAATTTTTTTTTTTGTAAAATAAACAAACATGTATATATACTTACCTACTGAGTGCAGTGGTTTTGCACAGAGCAGCCCGGATCCTCCTCTTCTCGGGTCCCCCACAGGCTCTACTGGCTCCTCCCTTCTGTCGGGTGCCCCCACAGAAAGCAGCTTGCTATGGGGGCACCCGCTGCTCTGTGTGTCCATTGACACACAGAGCCATGGCTTGGCCCCACCATGGCTTGGCCCCACCACCACTTTCTCGTCATTGGCTGACTGGCTGTGATTGACTACAGTGGGAGCTAATGGCACCAGCTTACTGACTCAGCCAATAAGGAGGCAGAGATCGAGAACAGCGAGGTTGTCATTCACATCGCTGGATCACTATGAGGCTCAGGTAAGGTAAAAAACCTTCAGCCTTTACAACCACTTTAAAGTAGATCTATAGGCAAAACATTTTTTTTTACATTTTGAATAGAGCGGAGGTGGATTAGAACACCTGTCAGGTTTTTATTGCTGTCTATTTGCTCAGTGTACCTGCATTTTTGAAAGTGAAAGTAAAAGAAAAATCCCAAATTTGGGGTTGTCCCCAGAACAGCAACAGAGGGGAAATTTTCCAATGGGGACACTAGTTGTGATGACCGGGGGGGGCAATGAATTCCTTTTAACTGTAGGGATATCCTCTCACTTTTTGTTTCGGCTATGGGACAAAACACGAAGGAATATCTCCCCAATGGGACAAAGATGGGCAAAAAAAAACTGATAGGGGTTATAACCCTCCTTTACTCTATCTAAAATTTAAAAAAAAAACAGGTTTTTGCCTATAGTTCCACTCCAAGGCGAATAGACTGAGCACTTTTCATGTTGCTCCAGAGCTTAGTACATGAGGTGAAACTTTAGTTTATAAAGAATACCAAACCACATGCAAGAAGAATAAAAACAAAATCTGCTTTTTTGCTTGCACATGATTGGATGATGAAAGTCAGCAGAGCTTTTCCTCATTTACTAAGCTCTGGAGCAACTTCACTTGCAAAGTGCTCATTTCATCTATGTGCTTTTAGTAAATCCACCTTAATACATTTAGTAAATCCACCCCAATACTCTACATTTAGTAAATTCACCCCATTACATGTAGTAAAATCTTTCTATTTTCTCCTGTCATTTTGCCAGATTTTTAGAGACTTTTTTATACATTGTTTGCTGCAAAATACCTCCTATTTACTCCAAACATAATCCAATGTACATGCATATCACAACGGTCTAATCCCTTGTAGGAACATATATGTCATATGTAGTGGGGATACTTTACTTCTTCACAATTATTTGTAGAGATACCTTTGGCTCAAATATTCACAAAACAGAATGGGATTAGGAACAGACAAGTATTCTTTCAAAGGTGTGATACTTGAGCTGTTAGGAGAGGGCTGTCATCAAGGTTTGACAGATGGCTACTACCAGGGCTTTTTTTCAGCAGGAACGCGGGGGCACACAGTTTCAGCACCTCCAGCACTGAATCTATGTAATAGTATGGGGAGCTGGGGTGTGCTGGAGGGTATATTAATGCTGCCTGCTGGGGGATCTCTTGTTGCATGGTGGTATATTATTGCTGGGAGGTCTATTGTTTCTGGTGAGGATCTATTGTTGTTAGGGGGTCAATTGTTACTAGAAGCGATCTACTGTTGAGGAAGGGGTTTATTTTTTCTGACTGCTGGAGAGTCTGTTAATGCTGGCTGCTGGGAAATCTGTTGTTGCAAATGGGGGGTTTGTTGCAGGAGTCTATTGTTGCTGGGGGGTCTACTGTTGCTGGATGGATCTATTGTTGCTGGAGGAGGGTCTATTGCTGCTGGCAGGGGATCTATTTTACTGCTTTTCTTGTTGTCATGAACAAATTCCATACAAATGAATTAGCACCACAAAAAATGATACTTGGCTCTGTGTTCTCTAAAACATACCTGGGAGGTGGGTAGGGGTTGGAAACAAGGGCTGGGGCTCGGAGGTAGGTAGAGAGAGGAGACAAGAAGTGACTCAGAAGGGGGGAGTTGCTGCACCTATTTTCTGAGAAAAAAAAACCCTGGATACCACAGTGACATTTTCAAGAACATGAGAGAATGACAGTGACTATTCCCTAACAAAACAAAACAGACCTGTTCAAAGATATAACAATGACTTCAGCAAACATCACAGCAGAAATGACTTTAAAGCAGGGTTTCTCAACCAGGGTCCCTCCAGAGGTTACCAGGGGTCCTTGAGCAATGAGCCACTTCTGCCTCTCAGATAAGTTCCCACTAAGACCACTGAATTTTTTAGCTATCTACAAAGGGGTAATTCTTCTGAATGACTACAAGTGTAAGGAGCATTCTTCTCAATGACCAGTACACTAATGTATCATGAGTTGTAGATATAGTCATCTTAGCAAGGGTTTCCTGAACTTGAAAAGTTATTTCAAGAGTTCCTCTGTATTGAAAAGGTGTAACAATAGGCAAAACATTCTTTTTTTATTTAAGATAGAGTTATAGAGGGTTAGAACCCCTGTCAGTTGTTTCGTTTTTTTGCCATCTGTGTCCCATTGGGGGGATTCTTTTCACTTCCTGTCCTATTGCCAAAACAGGAAGTGAGAAGAAATCCCAGCAAATTATAAAAGAATTCCTTGGGGCCCCCAGGTTGCCAGAACTAGTGTCTCCTTTGGAAGATTTCCCCTCTATTGCTTTTCCAGGGACAACCCATAATTTTGGGATTTTCTTTACTTTCATTTTTAATGATAACGGGGCACAGACAGCAATAAAAACTGACAGGGGCTCTAATCCCTCTCCACTCTATCCAAAACTAAAAAAAAAAAAGGTTTGCCTTTAGTTATACTTTAAAGCAAATTGACAAATAAAAAAAAGTTTTTTGGATTTAAAGTTTCTCAGTTTAACCCCTTATTTACCCTTAGTTTAGTCTAATCAGCTTTAATTAAATCCTTATGCTCCTTACTACTTGATTAAACATTATTATTTAATCTTTTTTTGTTTTTTGTTTGTTTTATTTGTTAATATTTTACACATTTAACAAATATTTTCCATGTTTCTCATTTAAAAAAGCCCAAAATTGAAAAACAAAAAAACAAAAACACTTTATTTAATTTGTAAATAACTTTTCAATGCTTTGTACCATAATCATAATGTTAGTGTCATAAAACAGTACAAATTTAAACAGTACAAATTTCAGTATAAAATGTGCACTTTTTATCTGCAGTAACATTATTTATTTTTTATTAGTAACACTGTTCAAAAAAAGAAAAAGTGTATTATGTTTAGTTTTGTTACATTTAATTGTATAGAAAAAAAAATTGATGCAAGAGAATAATCATGAAAAAAAAGCCTTGTTTGTTCTTGAGAAAACAATATATGTGCTTCCTTGTTATCTTAAGTAATAACAAAGTTATCACAAAGCAAACAGGTCCATACCAGAATTGTAAATATTGCTCTGGTCCAGGGGCGGACTGACCATTTGGAAATTCGGGCACTGCCCGGGGGCCGGGGTCAGTAGGGGGCCCCATGAGATGCCCCTGGTACCTTTTTCATATGCTTTTTTGAGTTTGGGCAAGGACACAGGGGCCCCATGATCCCCTATTGCCCGGGGGCCCCATGAGTTGTCAGTCTGCCCCTGCTCTGGTCCATAAGGAGTGAACAGGTGTGTGAACAGGTGTGAGAGGCAAACTGGTTAAAGAATATGTAACCCCAACATTTCATATTCCTGATATGTGCCTGTTGTACCGTGTACATGTGTTAAAAAAGTATTCTGTTCTCTTTGTATTGTTTCCTTTGTGTGAAATACCTGGTGTTCCTGCCTATATTCTCTTTCTTTCCTGTTTCAAATGGACCACACAAGTGTGGTCAGTTTTCTGGATGTGCTGGGAGAACAGCCTGCCTGTCCTCAAATGAATAATCAGACTTCTGCTGACATGTCCACTTGCACAGACATTCACATGGAAGATCAGTGTACTGCTTCTCCACCCCTAGCTCTCTAAGCCTCTCATCCAGCTGAGAACAAAGATTATGCTCTCACTTTGTTTAAAAAAAAGGTATTCATCATTTTTTTTATACCTATTCACCAATGTTTTGCCTTTTGTTTCTATTTTCAACTTAATGGGTTGTATTACAAGGTAAGGGTTCACCTATAAGCTAACACTTATGAAATTTTAGTGATTGGTATATATATATTACAGATATATTTTAGATTTATATTATATTTATATTATAGATATATTTTACACATACTTTAAAGATGTATTTCAGCTCTTAAAGTATGAACCCACAGGTATCCCCCTCTAGTCTACACATTTTGTTCCCAGAGATGTCCCATCTTTGCTTATGGGGTTGCGGCCTAACTGGCACCCTTGTACGGACATTTTGGGCCTGTCCAGGCCTTTCATTGAGTAAGATCTCTGCAGTGGCTTCTGCTGTGGTTGGTGCCCCAGTGCATTTGTCTATGCGGACTTGCCTACTGGGAGCCCACTACTTGCCTACTGGGAATACAGACTGAGGCTATGAGGCTGATTCACACCATCTGTGTCTCAGCCCTATGGGCCATTGCCCTTCATTGGAAATTACCTACGGTACAATTGGCCTCAATTATACGAAGAGCCAATGCAGTAATGCTCATGGAACGTATTCACTTTACGTTACTGGATAGGATGCACTTACTTGACAAAAAATGGGATGCTTGGAAAACTCATAGACATTTACTGTTTGACCAATGATTACCCATGTTTTAATTGATGGTGTCTTTCTGTTGTTGGCTTTATTGCTCTGCCTACCTTCCTGCCTACTTTACTAATGTATTTAACTTTTATGTTCTACATAACTCTACCTTTATGGACTGAATATTACAGATGTGCTTTTTTTTCTGTTGTATGTTATACCTCATGCTGGTAAGCTGTTTTTGCAGCCTATTTCTTAATAAATAAAAATCGTTTGTAAACAAGAAAAGATGTATTGTTATTTAACAATGTAATTTCACTGTTCTATATTATAAAATTAACATACATACTGAATCCAGTGAACATAAAGCTCCCACTATGTTTTATTACCAATATGAAGCTAGTAGTCACACTTTGGAGAGGCTGCAGCATGTGGTCATCAGAAGGACTTCACAGCTAACCTCATGACCCTGACGTGTCTACCCTAATCTTGTATATAGAGCCGGCATGCAGAAAATCTACGGTTTCCAGACTGCCATATCTGATACTCATCTATCTAGAAATGATTGTTTTGACATGCACAGACAATTTTGTCAGACGTGACTTACCACACTACAATATGATTCATAGCTTTGTGATAACAACTAGACTCTTCATACTGCCAACAGTCTGGGTGATTAATTATCTATTGAGCCTGCTGAATAAATATTCAAACCTTACATACACAGCTGGATCACTGAGGAGGAAGACTCAGATATGGCAAATCTAACTTTAAATCTAATCTTTCAAATATAGGTAATCTCCAGAAGACCATCGTTCACCATGTTCTTTTCTTTCACTAATCTTACTACATACTTTGCTGGATCTCGTAAGTATGTCAATTTTTGGTCAATAATATACTAAAGATTATACACAGGAACAGATTAGTAACCCAGGTCAAAATAAAGTTCTAACTGGATTTTGTTTTGGGTCACTTTAAAGAAGACTTAATTAAATTTAGACTGGATTGTTGGAATATATGTCTGCCTATTTGTGACTGTGCAATGGTCAAATAGTGTGGTGCTAGACTGTTATTTGGAATACTGTTATTATAATAAAAGATACATTTTTGTGCCTCTTTCATTAATGTGCATGTAATCCCTAGAAATACATCTCTAATTTGCAGTATTTGGTCTGTTAAATGCACCATTGGAAGCCATTGGTATATTGGTTTTATATGTGCAAAAAGAACAACTGATGTTGCCTGAAATTATTAGTTGTTCTGTGTCCACTATGCCTGTCTTATCTCAAAGAGCCTGTTTAGCCCTTCTAGTTCCTGTCTAGTCATTTAGTGCCAATTCTTTGGAGAGTGCTATAGTTTTTTTTGGGAAAATAAACTTGGCAGGGCTGGCACCACTTAATACAGTTGTGTTTAAAATAATAGCAGTTAGACATCACTAACCTGATCAGTCACTGTTTTTGGTAGAAATGATATTTCTATATGGAAAATAATTTACTAGCAGGTGTAGTAGAGTAATAGAAATCCAACAGACCCAACAGTCATGACATGCATGCTGCTGATTCTGTGTAATTGAATCACTAATTGAAAGGGGCATGTTCAAAATAATAGCAGTGTGGAGTTCTATTAGTGAGGTCCTTCATTCTTTGAAAAACAGGTGGCAATTATTGCCCTTATTTAAGGAAGGAAGGCAGCAAATGTTGTACATGCTGGTTACAGTGCATTTCTCTCTGTAATTCTGCGGAAAATGGGTCGTTCCAGACATTGTTCAGAAGAACAGCGTACCTTGATTAAAAAGTTGATTGGAGAGGGGAAAACATATAAAGAAGTGCAGAAAATGATAGGCTGCTCAGCTAAAATGTTCGCAAATGCATTAAAATGGCAACCAAAACCTGAAAGACATGGACGAAAGCGAAAAACTACCATTCGAATGGATAGAAGAATAGCCAAAATGGCAAGGACTCAGCTCCAGGAAGATCAAAGAAGGTCTAAAGTTACCTGTGAGTACTGTTCCAAATAGAAGACGCCTATGTGAAGCCAAGCTATCTGCAAGAAGCCCCCGCAAAGTCCCACTGTTGAAAAAAAAACTTGTGCTGAAGAGGTTACAATTTGCCAAAGAGCACATTGACTGGCCTAAAGAGAAATGGCGCAACATTTTGTGGACTGATGAAAGTAAGATTGTTCTTTTTGGGTCTAGTGGCAGTTTGTCAGACGACCCCCAAACACTGAATTCAAGTCACAGTACACTGTGAAGCAGGGGCGGACTGACAACTCATGGGGCCCCCGGGAAATAGGGGATCATGGGGCCCCTGTGTCCTTGCCCAAACTCAAAAAAGCCTATGAAAAAGGTACCAAGGGCATCTCATGGGGCCCCCTACTGACCCCGGGCCCTCAGGCAGTGCCCGAGTTTCCAAATGGTCAGTCCGCCCCTGCTGTGAAGACAGTGAAACATGGTTGCGCAAGCATCATGATATGGGGATGTTTCTCATACTGCGGTGTTGGGCCTATTTATCGCATACCAGGGATCATGGATCAGTTTGAATACATCAGGATACTTGAAGAGGTCATGCTGCCTTATGCTGAAGAGGAAATGCCCTTGAAATGGGTGTTCCAACAAGACAAAGACCCCAAACACACCAGTAAACGTGCAACATCTTGGTTCCAGACCAACAAGATTGAGGTTATGGAGTGGCCAGCACAATCCCCGGATCTTAATCCAATAGAAAACTTGTGGGGTGACATAAAAAATGCAGTTTCTGAGGCAAAACCAAGAAATATAGAAGAACTGTGGAATGTAGTCCAATCATCCTGGGCTGGAATACCTGTTTACAGGTGCCAGAAGTTGGTTGACTCCATGCAACACAGATGTACAGCAGTTCTCAGAAACAGTGCTTATACAACTACATATTAATTAAGTGATTCAAAGGAAAGCAAAATCTTCAAACATTTTTCAGTTTATATAGCGAGTGTTTGAGTTTGTAAAGAAGAATACAAACACTGCTATTTTTTTGAACAGTCTAATATTCACTTTTCTTCAATTTTTGTTTAGAGGAACAACACAAATTTGATATATTTTTCTTCATGTTTTGATTTGGAATAGAATGTGTAGTGTTCCCAATGCATTTTGTGTGTATGGAAATAAAAGCTATTAGAAGGATTTTGAGCTTTATTCACTTTTTTCAACACACTGCAATTATTTTGAACACAACTGTATGTTCCAACAGATCAGCAGTTTTGTTTTTTTTTACATGGTCTTTAAAGAGATGAAACATGGCGAAATGTGTTGCAGAGATGTTATGCATATTGTATATATTGCCCTAACATAGGCTTTAACTTTCACTTACTATATATCATGCTTGTTGAATAATAAAATAATATTAGTTTTGCTTTCCAGTCAATCTTCTTTCTGCTAAATAGGTATAAATGGGCTATACCAAAGTGTCCAATCTATCCCTTACTGTGCTCAGTGGAGGCCGGATCAGCTCTTATCCTTTTCAGACGTTCTCTGCAAAACAGTCAAGAATTAGTTTGTAGCAAAGGAAAACTGCTCATAGGGTTTAATGATCCATGAAAACAACAAGTAGGAGGGCCCTGCAGCTGCAGTTCAACTTGCATTGAACTGTGTGCAGTCAGTCAAAGTGCCCATTAGCTTTTTAAATCAGTGCAAAGTCCATGTACACCTAGACTGGCAAAATGACAGTTTCATGCATGCATCAATGCATATATAGAGAGTTTTTGGATCCCTAAAGCAAACCTATACTTCAGAAAACGTATTTACACTAAACATGTGGTTACATACAGTACCTACACGCATACCTTCACTGCTGTGAGGAATTTGGTAGAGACCTACCTATTCTCCCAATAGCTTGAAGTGCTCCAAAAGGGTCACTGGTTGATGATGATTAAATGTGATAAAAGTACAGTCACAGCACATCTCCTTTTA